GGAGCCTCTCCCGCCTCCTCAGCAGCACTAAGGATGTCCGACTGCAGCTTAGGTCTGCTCCCTGATGGTAAGTGGACATCCCCCGAGGGCTGCCGAGTTGCCAGAGGGATGTCTGACTGCCAGCTTGGGCCCGATCCCCCAGGGAGCAGGCCTAAGCCAGCAGGTGGACATCCTCCGAGGGGTCCCAGACTGCAAGAGGGCATAGACTGGGCTGAGGGACCCCCCTGAGTGCACAAATTTTTGTGCACCATGCCTCTAGTATATATAAAACCAACAGATGTAAAACACTTCAACTCCATGTTTCCCTCCTTTCTTTACTAAACTTATTTCCATTCTTCACCTCCCATTCACTCCTCAGTGCACTCCCATCTAACTTTTGCCTCCATTTCCCACTAAATCAGCTCACCAACAAACTCCATGCCACTGAATCTAATAGATGTCTTTCATTTCTCCTCCTGGCCTCTTGGCAGCATTCAATATTAGGGAGCAATCCCTTTTGAAACAATATCTTTTCTTGACTCACCCGACACATCTTAGTTGGGTGATTTTTCTGTCTTTCTGGTTATTCCTTCTCTTTCTTTAGAAACTTACCTGTTTTTTACCCAGCTTTTAAATATTGCCATTCTGCAATGCTCCACTTAAACTCCTCTTCCAAATCTGTAGCTAAAGCATGAAGTGGTTCTGTCCATATCCACAGTTCAATTATCATGTATACACAGACAAGTCACAAATTTTTATCTCTAGCCCTGTATGCCAGTTGCCAGCATGATATGCCCACTGAACTAAAACAAATTTATTAACCAAAATACATTTTTAACACCAAATTATCTATATGACATTGTAGTAGATACAAAGGATTATAAGTTATCATCCTTGTCTTCAAGGAGCTTACAGTCCAAAAATGCAGAGACAGGCCTTGTAATGGTTAAGGTTGTGGGCTTGAGTCCTAGACAACTGGGTTCAAATCATGGCTCTACCACTAGTAATGAAATGACCTGGAGTAAGTTAGTTAGCTTCCATGGGCATTAGTTTCCCCTTCTGTAAAATAGGGGTTAACAGATCTTTCCTTACAGTGCTGTAGCAAAAGTGAAATGGAATGGTGCAAGTTAAAGCACTCAGTGGTGCAGATACAAAGCAAACTCTCTTACTATGGTAGTCTTTAGTATAGCAATGTGGCGAGGTGTCAGAATACAAAGTAGCATATGCCAGTGCCAAGACAGTTCTGTAAACACGAAGTGTGGGAGCATTCAAAGGAAGGAGACAGACCTGTGTGTTGGGATGGTTGGCCTGGAGTGGAGGATGAGTTAAATTCTCATTAAACTTTGATAATGAGGCAACATGCTGAGATGGTAGTAGGAGTACAGAAGTTTAAACCAGCTTTACCTCTGAATTGTTGTAATTTTTGATGAGTTGTAATTTTTAAACCCGGATTTTTTCATGTGTGAATTGTGGACAGTGAAATCTGTCCTAGCCACCTTATATGGTTGTCAGTAATAGATGTGAAAATATACATTGTACAGTAAAAGATGGTGTAAATTTCAGGCATTTAGTGCTGAGTCGGTGTACCTTAGTGGAGAGTGTGGCCTATAGAGTTGGAAACACCTAAGACTGAACCCAAGGTCACATTTACTAGCTGTGACCTTGAGCACGTCACTTCAACACCAAGCTCTAGTTTTCTCATCTCTAAAATGGAAACTGTGTGCCTTGCCTCATTATAATGTTGTAAGGATAAAATAAGTTACTGCTCGTCTGTGAGGCCCACTAGCAGCCAAGCAGGGCGAATGAAGCCCTCTGAGTTGGAGGCCAGTACCTAGAGCACTCATTCAGTGGTGACTTTAATCAAAGCCAGGATTGACTGCCCTAGGATTCTGTGTATTTAGCACATCCTATATAATAAAAGCCCAAATGGTGGAACGACCAGAGACCAGAACACCACAGCCCCTCGCCCAGGCCGGCCCTACCCCCCAGGGAGCAGTTAGGGGGACCCCTAGGCAACATGATAGGATGCGAGTTTGATGGGAAAGTCGAAGAAATAGGGGGGAAGGTCTTAAGGGTCTGTGGGGTTGGTGTGGTCAGACCCAGAGTAGGTTTGGAGTGTGCTGGGGAAGGAAGAGGAACATCCGATTGGAAAACGGCTCAGCACAGTACCTTTCTCATTGCGAACCGGACGGCGCCAGCCGTGGACTGAATGGGCGGTTGTTTCAGGAGTGCGCTTGGGACTGACATGTTCATGGCAGCGGCAGTACTCCAGAAACTTCACGGATTCCAAATAGTAAACAGCTATCAACGTCAAAGAACAGAAAAATCCTCTCCAACTAGAGGCTCTGGACGTTGCAACACGACTGAAGGAAACACCACTTAAGGAGGAGCTAGAAAAACCAGAAGTATACGACCAGAGGATTGTGGGATTGTGTAGGACGCCAGGGCGTCTATTGCTAGAATGTGAGCCTGTTATTGTGCATGTACATAGTCAGCCCTATAGTCCTCAGTCTCACAGTATTTGGATGTGACTTCTGGCGGGAAATTATTTCGATTGAGGTTTGCTGTTCCATTGCAGCGAAGAAGACTTCCTTCCTTCCTTCCTTCCTTCCTTCCTTCCTTCCTTCCTTCCTTCCTTCCTTCCTTCCTTCCTTCCTTTTTACATCCTTATTGTTGAAAGTATTACAGATGTCCTCCTTTTTTCCCCATTGACTCCTTATAGCCCGCACCCCCACCCCACCCCAGGCCTTCACCACACTATTGTCTGTATCCATGGTTTATGCATATATGCATACAAGCTCTTTGGATGATCTCTTCCCCCCCCCCCCCCCCCGTGCTCCCCCCCCCCCCCCAGGGAGCGGTTAGGGGCGATCAGGCAGACAGGAGAGCAGTTAGAAGCCAGTGGTCCCGGATTGCTAGAGGGTGCAGGCTGGGCTGAGGGACTCCCCCCTCCCCACCCCCTGCGCATGAATTTCGGCACCAGGTCTCTAGTATATAAATAACGTGTGACAATGTGTTGAATCCTTATTTCAGATCCTATGTTAGATCTGGATATTCAAGAATTAGCCAGTCTTACTACGGGCGGAGGAGATTTGGAGAATTTTGAAAGACTGTTTTCAAAGTTAAAGGAAATGAAAGGTAAGCAGATGAATCCATTGTGCCTAACATGTTCCCATATTGTTACTCCCTGGTTTTATATAGTAGGATTTTATTTGGTAACTGCTAATTCTATTCCATTCTCTGGTCTCAGCTATCTTGAGAAATGTAGTTACTGGGAGACTGTGCCATCCTCTGGTGGTAAAAATCCCCTGGGGTAAATTTTCCTCTTCCTTTATTCTCTTTCCTCTTATTTTCCCTTCTTCTCTTGCCTCTGTTTCTTTCAGTGTGTCTCATTAATGTGGAGTCAGTGACACCCCTACCAATTTACTCACATAATTCCCATCTGGAGAATTTGTAAGACTTAAACTTCCTCACAGCTATAATGACTACACCATAAGCATGTCTTTGAAACCCATCTCCCATCTCCCAGTGTTAGAACATTGTACACTCCAGATTCTCTTGTGCTATTAGATGAATTTCTTAAGATATATTTTCCCCCTAGACAAGGCTGCGACACTTCCTCACGAGCAGAGAAAGTTGCATGCAGAAAAGGTGAGACAATCAGTCAGGTATTTATTACCTACAAAAGGTCCATACTGTTAGAATTATAGCACTTATTGATTGATTATACTTTTTTATTTCTAAAGTGTCTTAGTGTGAATTTTTCATTGGATTTTAACTTATAACTAATTGAATGTCTACACAGTAGTAACTTAGTTGCTGCAGTCAAACCAAGATTTTTCAAATGTATGTTGAGTGACATGGAACTTTCATTGAGACTCAGCATGTTTGCCTTCCTAACTATTGGGCTGGAAAACGCAGTTATTTTGTTTTAGTTTGTTATTACCAACGCAACACATGTTCTTAGCAGGAAACATATATGGTTTATGGTATGTGTTGTATGAATGTGTCATAATTTACCCACTGCACTTTTGGACAGGTCATGTGCAATTTTTGCTTCTATAAAGAGTGAAGCTCTGCATATCCTTACCCATCACCATAGTACACAACTCTGATTATATCTTGAGTGGAAATTTCTAGAAGTGGAAGTCCTGGGTCCGGATATTCAAGGGTTTTAATATATGTTGCCAGAGGGTTGGAGGGCAAGGTATAGAATTTTAGGTCTTAATCAAAGTGTGACATGAAATGAGCTGAAATTTAGCTGTTGGCTAAAATGTGTTGCATGTTTCTCTCGACACAGGTTGCCAAAGCCTTCTGGATGGCAATTGGGGGAGACAGAGATGAAATCGAAGGCCTTTCATCTGATGAAGAACACTAAATTACTCCTACTAGGGTTTGACTAACAAAGATGCTAACTCGCACTACCTGAGATACTTTCCTGTCAACCCCGTTACGTTTTGCTGAACTTTCCATTATCCTGTTGGCTACCTGATTTGTTCATAGGATCCTCTTAATTTTAGTTTTTAGTAGAGGGTTAAGGAGAAAGTTTTTCTCCCTCGGGATATTGTAAAGGAGTGAGGAGTATAATGACAGTAAGGACTGATAATTTTTCAGATATGCTTTTTTGTTCTAGGAATGGAAGGGAATGAGAGGCTCAGAGGTTGTGTGTGATTTGCCCAAGTTAAAGAAGAAGCCACTCTTAGTCAGCTTTTCTGGTGCATGCCCTGTGGTCACACTTGAGGATGCACATCAGGAGCTTGTGCCACCTTTCCTGGGTGTTCTGGATTTTCTGCTTCTGAGGAGCTTGCTGCTCTGAGCTTTGATGCTTTTGCATCAAAAGAAAGGAAGCAGCTGCAGATTCAATTTGTGCTATAGTACAGGTGGGGCCAGTGGCAGTGGCCCTCAGGTTAATATCTAGCTAAAAAGTTGCTCTGGGCATTTCAATTAAAGTATAGTGTCTGAGCTCATGCTAGAAAGTATTGAGGAGCCAGTGTAACATTTTAGACTATAATAAATGAGGCAAAGGTTTCCTACTCTGGTAGGGATAAAACAGATCCCTTTACAAAGTTGGGGGGTGAGGAGGGTGGGTGCGGTTTGCATGTGTGTAAGAGACAGAGAGGAACTTAAGTAATTCCCTATAATGGGCTGTTGAAACAGTCTGTGATCACACACGGAAGTTTTGGCATTGCCTTTATCATGAATAAACTCTTCTTCCTTAGAGTTTTCTTGAGATGTCAGAGCTGTGTTGTCACACTTTATACCCTCCTCTCTGAAAGACAGACCACTGCCTAATAGTAATACTAAAGAGTGAGTAAGGTAGAAAAGGATGTGAAAACATTAGGCAGTGAGTCCCTGAGTACCTTCTGTTACTTCCTGGGCTGAGTGGGTCAGCCCCTGGGGAACTGACCACCAAAGGGAAAGTTTCCAAAGGAAGAGTTGGAAATACAGCAAATAACCCATCACTGTGGTGGCCGCTGCATGGCTCTAAATGGCACAGGGTCCCAGAGCTGGGTGGTGCTGGCACCGGGGCTGAGCACTACTTCTTGGTCTAGTGTGCTCACTAGCAGAAACAACTTTCAGATCCCTGTGCTCCATCTTCCAAGCACTGGGACGTGAGGCAGAAGCAGAAGGAACGGAGGGTTCACGGTGCCAGGCCAGGGCGACCACAGGAGCAAAGGTTGCAGTGATTGGAGCATTCAGGAAGAGCCATTTCAGGGAACTTTGGTGGCTGTCTTGCTTGGTGACTTTTTTTTATTTACTATTCTGAAGGATTATTCACCATTCCATCAGTGTTTCTTTGAGATGACTGGATCAGCCATTCATTAGGAATATAAGGAAAGTTAGCTCCTTGCTGCAAAATAAAAGGTGGAACATGTTTTTCTTAAAATATGAGAGGTTTTAGAAAATACATTAGGATCATTGGTTAGAGAAAACAGACGAAAAAAAAAGCTGTGAACTTGAACTTGATTTTGTGGCTTAAACCAAGCCAGATGATTAAAATGTGATTTGTATATAAAATCTGCTAATGTGTATTATTATGATTTTGTTGTTTAGTAGAGGATGTATATGGAGAAGCCTTTCTTCCTTCATTGGATTAGGCATAAATAGTGAATAATGTAAGGGTTTGTCAAACTCACTATTTTGGATCCAACATGCATATGTATACTGACAACTCACGTTTTTAAGACCTCAGCTATCAGCCTCTTCTAGGGGAAATGTGGGATAAAAGAATCCAGTGGCATCTACTAAAGGCCCAGGTTAAGAAGAGTGATCATGAGCTAATCCTATATAATAAAGAGGTAATATGCAAATTGACCATCATACCCTCATACAAGATGGCCGTCCCCATGTCATCACAAGATGGCCACCACAAGATGGCTGGCAGGGGAGGGCAGTTGTGGGCGAGCAGGGGAGGGAAGTGGGGGGCGACCAGGCGGGCAGGGGAGGGAAGTGGGGGGTGACCGGGCCTGCAGAGGAGGGAGGGCAGTTGGGGGCGACCAGACCAGCAGGGGATGGCAGTTAGGGGTGACCGGGCCGGCAGGGGAGGGCAGTTGGGGGCGACTGGGCCAAAAGGGGAGAGCAGTTGGGGGCGATTGGGCTGGCAGGGGAGCAGTTAAGCATCGATCAGGCTGGCAAGGGAGTGGTTAGGGGGTGATCAGGCTGGCAGGCAGAAGCAGTTAGGGGCAATCAGGCAAGCAGGCAGGCGAGTGGTTGGGAACCAGCAGTCTTGGATTGTGAGAGGTATGTCCGACTGCAGGTTTAGTCCCGATCCTAAACACCCCCCCCTCCTGTGCACGAATTTTGTGCACCATGCCTCTAGTCTATATATATAAAAGCCTAAGTGACCAGTTGCTATGATGTGCACTGACCACCAGGAAGCAGATGCTCAATGCAGGAGCTGCCCACTGGTGGTCAGGGCACTCCCACAGCAGGAACGCCTCTCAGCTGACCAACCAACCAGTGCCAGACGCCAAGCTCACGGCTGGCGAGCGCTGCTGTGGCAGCGCTACCGAGAGGCGGCGTGGCACCCGGTCTGGGCTCAGGCTTCTCCTCGGCCGCCTGCTGCTTTGCACACTTCTACATCCCTCGGGGGATGTCGGACTGCCGGTTTTGGCCCGATCCCCAGATTGCGAGAGGGCGCAGGCCAGGCTGAGGGACCACACTGGTGCACAAATCCATGCAATGGGCCTCTAGTAGTGTAATAAAAGTTGTACTTTATCTAAAGTGACCTCTGTAGTTGCCATTCACAAATTATGGACTGTCCATCTGGGATTTAATATGAGAGAATTGTCTACCCCCCTCCTCTTGCAATATTTCTCTATTTGTATAACACACTGTTTGGCACATAGTGGGACCTTAATTTTGGTTTGTATTTGTATTTGATAGTTTGATGAATATTATCACAAAGTTTGAAGGTCCACGAGTGTTGGAAGGTAGGGAGAGAGACAGTAAGCTTTTTTCCCCCTGAGAAAATCGTGTGTTATGTAATAATTTTAGAGTGATGAAGACATAGTTATTTTTATAATTTTAAAATATGTTATCCTGCCAGGATATGAGAAGATTGACAGAAGCAGTTTGCTTGCTCTCTATTTATAGAACTTGGCCACATCTAATTCAGAGAAGCTGGAGATTCAGAGAAGCTAGACTTAGATGGCTGAGTAATATGGGATGTGGTTCAAGGACCATAGAGCATGTCAGGCCATTACTGCAAACCACTTATACCACATGAGATGTGATAAATGGCTAACTTCAAGTTCCCATCATGGAGAGGTGGGGATAAAGATGTTTGCCATGGCTGATGTTGCATCCCCTCAACCTCGGGCCAGTCTCTTAACAATGGCCATAGGGAGAGCACGTGGCGTGCCCCTTACCCTGCCTTGGCCTGCCATAGAAAGACAGTCTTAGAAGAATCACTGTCTAAGGGTAAGATGAGAGCTCCATGAAGTATTCTGAGCTTGTGTTTGCTGATGCAAAGCTAAATTTAGCAAACATGTGTCTAGTGTGGTCAGAGGTCCTGATTCATTAAATGCTCTGATTGATGGAGACAGACTTCCAGAAAATGCTGTAATGAGTTGGAGTTGTCCTTCACATACACACACCCAAATTTAAAAATAGGGAAGACAATTTAGCTACAGCATTCTGTCATTAAGTATCAAATTTCATTAAAAGATTGTAGGTGGAGAAATCGTAAAATATCTGGTCAAGTGTACCTACCTACTAGGATTGGCTTGAAAACAACACCCTATTAACTTTCCCATCATTTGTATATCTCATAAAGTAGCATGCTGACTATGTAGGGCAGAGTTCTAATTTTGATTTAGATTCTACTTGGAGGTTAGTTTAGTGATCCATGCTTGCACCTTTGGCATATAAACTCTTGTAGAAAGGGTCTTAGAAATTCTCTAAGTTTTATATTTTGGGCATGACCTATATGCCTGTTATTAACATCACAGGTCTTGCTCTTAATGTAGATTTCTTTATTCAGAGTGAAGTGTGTGTATGTGTGTGTTGCAGTTCTTCTAGTAGAGGAAGCGTCTTGCTCTGTTCCGAGGTGTTTCTGATTTGCAGAATGAAGAATTAAGAGAGGTAATAGCAATGTACGGGCCTTTTGTTGGAGCACCACTGAGCGCATTCCAGCTCTTGATGACTTACAGTTCTACTTTGTTTCCCATTGGAAAGTACTGATTTAAAACCAGGACTTAATAGTTATTACTGCATCTTTGGAACACAGGTTTGGCAAGAAAAGAACTTTTTTTCTCTAGACCCCTTTATATCTGTGTGTATATGTTGATAGACTCAAATACTCTCTCCCCATAACTACAAATTTGGGCATCACAAAAAGGGCACATATAGCAGTTCATGACCAGCCTTCCTGGTTCTCTCCTATGAAGGATGTGAACAGTCATTGCCTCTCCCCTTTCTCTTATCAACCAGGTGGCTTTAATGCTATAACCACATGGGCTAAGTGAGGCCTGGGGTAGGAACTGTAAGAAAACAGCAGCATAATTTAAGAGAGAAAAGATTCTCTTCATCTGAGCCCAAGGACTTGGTCTGCACCAATCCTGCTGCTCCAGGGAATTCTCAGGAAGTCATGTATGGTGAAGTTAGGTCTAAAAGGTGAGAAAAAGCAACTAACCTATTCCTTTAACCTGATGAAACAAGGATCCAGGGTTCAGCCAACACTGATTGGGAACTTTCTTGGTGCCAGACTGGGCCAGGTGCAGCAGAGGCTGCAGATTCAGCAAGGATGTATTTTCTCTGCTCTAGGAGCTCATCGTCCAACTCGGGTGAGAGGAGGGGACAAGCAAGATGAGGGCACAAAAGGTGGAATGCTGGGCAGAATGTGCAGAGCACCCTGACCAGCCCTAATTGCTTGTGGGAAGGAGAGCACTGTTGGGAGGAGTATAAAACACAGCTGGGAGCAGGGGTTCTCAAACTTGAGCCCACATCAGAATCACTTGGAGGGCCCCACCCCAGTTTCTGATTCAGTAGGTCCAGGGTGGGGCCTCGGAATGTGTTTCTACCATGATACTGATGTAACTGGTTAGTGACCACATTTTGAGACCCACTGACTTACAGGAAGTGATGCTTGCATTGAGCCGAAAGGATATGAATTTGGGCAGATAGGTGGAAGTTACGGCATGAACAAAGGTATGGAGATAACGCAAGGAGTTCTGTTGGGAAAACTCTAGTAGTCCAATTAGAGGAGTGGTGATGGGTAAGGATGGATTGATGTTGGAGAGAACCATGAAATCCTACTTTGTGGGGCCTGTGTTTCCTCTGGAGGTAATTGAGGAGTCAAGAAGTTTGGAGCAGAAGAGACATTAACTATAATTACACTCCAAGGAAATCGGGCAGTATTAGCCAACACTAATTAATTAGCACTATTTGGAGAGAAGCGTTGAGAAGGATTCTGAGGCTGAGAATGGACCCAGCACTGTGATTAGTGGTTTCACCATGGATAGAGAATGGTGGCAGTTTTGCCCCATATTTGCCATCCCTGGACTAGAGGGAGACAGATTAAGAGACTATTGGAATAGCTCTGATAAAAGGTCATCAGGAACTGTTTGGTGGTATTCCTATGGCTATTTATAAGGACTTACTATAGACTAGTACATTGGAAATGGATGCAAAGGTATTGCTGAGGTAGAATCTTATAAATATGGGCTCTAATTGATTCATTTATCTAACAAAAATATGCAGTGGTCAAAAGAAGTTGGGGGTATAAAAATAAGATACAAACTCTGCTCTCAGGGAACTCGCAGCCTAGAGGAGGAGAAAGCCATGGTGAAGACAGTTGAGAATGTGGTGATAGATTCACAGAGGGCTTCCTGGAGATGTCTGAAGGCAAAGCATTAGTGACCGTTAGCCAACAGAGCTGGTGGTGCGTGTCAGAAAGGCTGGGGCCAGGGTTAGCCTGGGGAAGAGGGGTTAACGTTCCAAGCAGAGTATAAGGAACAACCTGTTGCAGAGTATAAGGCAGCCAGCTGTGAGAGCGACATGGGGCCCAATGATGAAGGTCAAGTGGTCCGTGTTAAAGACCTTAGGATGTGTGCTGTGGCTGAGGGTGTGGGGGCATCTAAGGTCAGGTAGGTCACTGGGGGTGGTGCAGATGCTGCATGTACAGGAAAACAGGCTGGAGACTAGGAGAGTAATTATTAAGCTGGTGCAGTTGTCCGGGTGCTAGAGGACCTGTGTAGGGCAGTGAGAGTGGGAAACAGGACTGATTGGATGTGGGGAGTGAGGGAGGGTGGATGACTGTGACTTCTGTGGCTATAGGATGGGTAAATGGGGCTGAAGGCCAGAGGAGAGGGTGATGATTTAATAAGGGCAGCGGTGAATTTGCTTTTTAAGTTATGAGTTTGAGGTATTTGTGGCATCTCCACGTACCCTTAGCCCGCAGGCTGCTGGCTACAGATATGAAGCCTGGGATTGATGTCCAGGCTGTAAATACTGATTTGGAAGTCATTAGCATTTACGTGGCCTGAAATCCTGTGAATAGATGAGATCACTTGGGG